CAAGTCGACAATCTTGAGATCATTTCTGACGGAATCTTGATTTCAGTACTTTCTTCCTGAGAAAGCCATTTTTTTCAGATTTTCAGTCAGAATCTGATGGTGTGTAATCATACGACCATGGCTCGTATAAAGAGTCATACAATCATCATTCATCTGAAGACGGATTTAATTATCAGTAGCACCATTTAAAGTATCAAAGATGATTTCTCTTCATTTTTTTCCATATTAAACAGTTTGATTTTTGAATAAAAGAGAAATTTTCAATCGATTCGAATAGAACAGGTTACCTATCACGTCTAAAAAAAGTTTTAGAACTATTTCAAGATCTGGTGAAACGCTGCTGAACGTTTTCACTTTGTTTTCCATTAATAAATGCACGGAGGAAACTATTCATATATTCCGTGATTCTAAGTGAAGTTAGTTTGCGCTAAAATTTTAGCGATCATAGATATAGTAGGGATACATTATAACGGCAAAACCCATGAGATACAATGTGTGCAAGAAACTGACAATCCATAGAGGAGCAAAAAACCTGTCGTCTACCTATCTTAGACCGCTATTTTGTGAAACACATCATTCTCTTTTAATTAACAGGCACAGTTTTTAGTAATTAGAGAATCTAATTCGTGTAAAAGCTGACAAATAGAGAACAATGATATACGCGAAATCAATAAATAAAACATAAATATCACCGTCATAAATAAAACAAATTAAAAATTGTAGAAAGACAACCAAACAGAAAAAGACAGAATCACATATTAAAAAATCAAGTAATCAGTGGATACAGCGTCACGACAATTAAACATAGTCCCTTGTCAGGAATGGAATGTTAATGACATTAAAGTTTTGATTGTTCTTTGAATAATGTTGATAATTTTTGTGCAAGCATAACATTTCCTTTTAATTTTAGTTTGCCTTTCGTAAACAAAACGGGTGCACTTGCTTTACCCGCTGCTAAATTAACGAAATCTTCATCATCGACCGTGATTGTGGCTTGAGCAGCTTCATCTGGTTTTCCCGAATATAATTTGCCCTTTTTACCATCAATTGCTAATAAAAAAAAACAACAACAGAAATTATTACAAATAAATTCAAAACAGCAAAAACCAACTTACTCCAGCTTTGAACAACTGCACCATCTTTCGTTATATCAAACACAATAATTGCATTAATTTTTTTCACCAAATCAGGTTGTGCAGTAACTCGTTTATTAATTTCATCGAAGGCAGCTTTTGCTTTTAAATCAGCACCGGTTTTTGATTCCTTCAATGAAAAATTAACAGGTAAGTTTTATCAACTTTATAACAATCGATCTAACAATAAAACAAGTTACATTTGTCATACTGACGCACTAGTCCCTTGACTGTCTATTTCTTTAGCAAAAAATCCAGCACATTCTGCTTATAACAAGCACGAGACAGCTAATTGTTTGACACCTTATCTATAGAGAGTATCATTGTACAACTACTCATTTGTAAGACGGAGAAGTAACTTCATAAAGTTGTTTAAGTGAATTCCAGATATCATCAACTGTCGTACGATACTAGCGATACTGACGTCCAACAATAACAATAAATAACAGATACATAACAGAAGAAAACTATAATGGAGTTCAAAACCGGCACTGACAAGATATAATATAATTCGAAAGGCACAGTCATGAAAATCGCTGGAAATTTGCTGTTATGAAAAATATGCCGTCATAAAAAATGTGTCATAGTCGAGAAGTGTGACGGACGTTATAGATAGTATCGCGATAAGACCCTTAGCTTACAGTAAGGAAAATACTATGAAAGCATTCTCAGACGAACAAAATGTAGGGATATCATAATTAAACAGTCCATAATAGAACTTCCTACATCCAAGACCAAGTTCTGTTCGTTTGCATACATATACAGTATGTTCGAGAAAAAAGCTACTGATATGCTATGACTCTCATACATGAAAAAGAAAATGCAAAAGAAATCTTAAGCCAACGTCCTTTCTTCATGTTTTTCCCCAAAATTCAGTGACAGTTTTTATTTACAAAAGATCTTGCTAGGATAGGATAGGATTTATTCACGAAAAGTGAGCTTAAAAGAAGTTCCAATAGGATAGATCGTCGCAAACGGAATAATCCTTTTGCGTATCTTCTAATAAGTGTTTACCTCTTTTGTCATTTTTGTTTATGGCAAAGTTGTTTAGAAAAGTAATTCAAATTAATAGATAAGAAATTCAGGTAAGGTGTTTATCATGTACGAAGGTACTCAACGAATGTCGTGATGCAAACACAGTTAGTCAGTGCTTGAGAATAGATTGGTTCGTTCCTACTCCATTCTACTCGATGCATTAGAGAAAAAAAGAATGGGAGATGGCGCTTTTATGTTTATTTTTAATTAGCGATCTCTCAGTGGTGAAGTATACGCATCATCGTATTGATCATCGTCGTATTCGACGCAAATAAAATATTACCTACCATAGATGGCGTAATATCTGCTCACTTGATAAAAGATTTCTAACCAAAAACTAAAATTCGGCTATATCAACCAATGACTTATGTCAACTTACCTCGGATCTTTCTGGTGTTTCAGATTGTTTGTTTGTAATACTGCCCGGTGGATCATTATTTATAATAACACTATGTAAATCTACATATCCGCCTGACAGAACTGTTTGATTTGATTCAGGAACCTAGAAAAACAAAAAAGATATCGTGTACTACATAAAAAGACAAACATGGAGACGTACTCTTGATTCGAAATAAATTCGGTTACCCTCTTGCCACATGTGAGTTTCAATGGATTGTCCAGGGATAACTGGTTTCGTGAAGCGAACCTATATGAGTAGTTGTTTGAAAGAATATACTTTATTCTTAACGACAAATGGCCTTACTTTGATTGCTTTAAAAAGTTTTGTATCATCATTTGCAAATTCATGAAGAATATGTCGAGCTGCATAACCAAAAGTACAAAGACCATGTAGAATTGGTTGCTGAAAGCCTAAAAGTACAAAAATATTGACAAACATAAAAATTGAAATGTTAAAGTGATAATCACCTGCTATAGCTGCAAATTCAGAATCAATATGTAATGGATTCGAGTCACCATTTAAGCGATACAACGCAGCTTGATCAATATTTGTTTTTTCACTTGATACTTTATCTGGTTTTCTCTTTGGAATTTGAGCAGATTTTATTTGTTTATCTGTATCACGATGTCCGCCAAAACCACCAGATCCCACAGAAAATATGACAAACTGATTAATTCCTAATAATTCTTTTGCTTCATCATACATTTCGACCTCATAGATAATCACTGCCCCTGATCCTTTGTCCAGAACATCCACAATTTTTCCCTTTAATGTCAATGTGGCTGTTGGTGGCAATGGGCGAAATAATTCAACATATTGTTCGCCATGCAGAACCTAATTAAACAGCGACAGAATTAGATATATAAGTTATTATTGGTACAACATGCTCACCTTAGCAAGATCTACTTCGAAACCTAGATTCGACGATCCGATAATGTTCATTGTTAGCGCTTGTGCTGGTATCACTGCAAATGTTGGTAACACTGAGAAATTTTCATGATTTTCATATAAATATTGTAATGCATTTGGTTGACGTGTTGAACATCCAATTGATAATGCATACAAAATAGTATTGTTCTGTGTATATGTAAACGTTTGAGTAAATTCATCACTTTTAGTCATCAACGAAGATTTATCATCGCTACCACTATCAATCTGTTTAATTACATCCATTAAATGTGTCACTTGATCAACCTGAGTCTTATGATACATAGGATTTGAAAAATTCGTTATTTTGTCCCAATTATCTCGTACATCTTCGGGTGTCATTGGACAGTTTTTCTTTCGTACAACAGCGCCCGATGATTTTTCCCATCTCACTTTGCCTATCCATCCGCCAGCTACTTCAAATAATGATCCAGTTTCATCGCATGTTTCATGAGATAAATATAATACAAGCGGCATTACAAATTCTGGTTTTAATCCATGTTCGGCATCATCCGGTAATAAACTTTGTGTTAAACGAGAATATGCTGTCGGTGCTATAGCATTACACGAAATTCCATATTTTGAACCCTCAATTGCTAATGTATTGCTCAAACCAACTAATCCTAATTTAGCAGCACTATAATTTGCCTAAATGAAATAGAAATATAACACAATTCAACCTCTAATCATCTTCCATTTACCTGTCCAAAATTTCCATAAATTCCAGATGTACTAGATGTCATTACAATTTTACCATATTGTTGTTTTCGCATATGGGCCCATGCTGCTTGACTAACGAGATAACTACTACGCAAATGAATACGATGTACTAAATCCCAATCATTTTCTTGCATATTCAAAAAACTTTTATCTCGTAAAATACCAGCATTATTAATAAGTATATCAATTCTTCCAAAAGCATTAATAGCGGTATCAATAATTGCTTTACCGTTTTCTACCGAATTGTAATCTGGTACAGCTATACCGCCTTTTGATATAATAAGAGCTACTACATCATCAGCTGCACGAGAATTCTTTCCTTCTCCGGATGTAGTTCCACCTAGATCATTGATAACAACACTAGCTCCTCTTTCAGCGAACGCCAAAGCATATTCCTACAGCAAAAAACGAAAAACAATTTCAGTCCAATCTCAGATTAATCATTTAGCTCATGCACTATTGTCTTTCGATATTCTTTTAGCTTTCGATGTTCTATCAACAATCACCTTTCCTAAGCCATTACCCGCACCCGTCACAACCACAACACGGCCAGCAAAACGTAACAAGTTGCTTGTCATTGTATCAATAATCTAAAAATGGTAAACACATAGGTATATGAAAAGAAACATACAAGAAATAACGAAATTTTATTTATATCTCTCATTTTCTCCCTCTCTTAGAAGTTTTCGTTGAAATTTTAGATAACTTGATAACATCTGAATGTCTGACATATTACAATAAGGAGGTTTTATTGTAGCTATGTCAGAAACGTATTCTGTTTTTTGAAGGCCTTGGTAATCGAGCGATTGTTTAATAAAATGTTGCCAAATATAGTGTCAACATCCAAGTGACCATCATTGATAAGGTAATCTATAAATTTGATGGGATTACAAATCGTCTCTCTTCTCGTAGATATGACTGAATGAGTCTGGATGTATTTTCATATAAAAACATTTTAATACTAGTAAAACTGTTTTCGAACATTTAGTTAAGTTTTAATAAGAGAAACACTATAATCTATTTGACTAAATTAATTTTATTTTAGTTAAACAACGTCTAAAACTCATCAGTTATCAACAACAAAATGAACACAAATAAATAAAAAAAAAGTTAAAAATAACTGAACTGTTTTGAGGAACCAAGGAGAGTTTTGATAACGTGATTACGAAAAAACTTCTATATATAAAAAACTATTATATTTTATTGCACTTAAATATAGAAAATAAGAAGAGTATATACAAAAGACAGTGTGAAGACTAGTGAACACATTCTCATTTCAAAATACGATAGAATCTACACCGGCTTGTATTTGGTGTTCTTGTTCTTGTTCAATCATTGCTTTCCAATCAGAACCATTTTGATACTCTGCAAATATTTGAAACTAAAATAAAATTTGACAAACAGTTATGTTGAAAAATGTGTGAGCAGTGTGACTATAATAATAATAAAAAATTCAAAGGAAAATATTTTAAACATGATCTAACTAATATCTTTTCGTATCAGACAAAGTATAAAAAGAGGCTACCTTTACTAAACGATTTCGTAAATTAGAATGAGTATATGTCAATCACTCAATCTATTTTCTTTTGAAATCTTGTCAATCAAAATGTTACATACTTTATCTCGAAGATGTTGCAGTAATGATAAAACATGGTTTAATTGCGATAATAAATTGGCGATAGTCGGAACATTTGCTTCAACCTGAATGAACATAGTGCTAAGTACACAGAAAGAAAAAGAAAT